AAGTTGGAAGGGACCTTGGAGGTCATCTAGTCCAACCCCCTGCTCAGGCAGGAAACCCTATACCATTTCGGACAAATGGCTGTCCAGTCTCTTCTTAAAAACTTCCAGTGTTGGAGCATTCACCGCTTCTGGAGGCAGGTTGTTCCATTGGTTAATTGTTCTAACTGTCAGGAAGTTTCTCCTTAGTTCTAAGTTGCTTCTCTCCTTGATCAGTTTCCATCCGTTGCTTCTCGTCCTGCCTTCAGGCGCCTTGGAGAGTAGTTTGACTCCCTCTTCTTTGTGGCAGCCCCTGAGATATTGGAACACTGCTATCATGTCCCCCCTCACTGATAATGTATTGAATTTTCCACTAGACCAAAATATGGGCTGTCCTTGGCAAAATAGATTGATAACATAATCTTTGCATTATCATACAAAAGTAACAATGATTCTGATGATTGTATTATTTGACCACTGCCCCAACACACTTTATTTTTGTGAATCTAAACACAGGAAGAGCTGCAAATAAATTAAAATGTGTTTTACCCTTTTTTGCTAGAGATTTGAATTTTTCCCATGGAATCAGATGATGGGAATTTTGTAATGATCCTAACTGATTCCTGAAATGGATTGTCACTTTATCTCTTTTTCACAAAACAGTGAATCTTAAAGTAGCAATGTGTACTCTTGATTGCAACAAAGTTTAGTCTAAATATACCAGTTTGCATTTCACACATGCAAACTATAATCTGTGTTGCTCTTAAAGGTTTTAATGGAGTGTGTGTGCCCTGGGCACTGTCATTTTTCCTGCCTCACCCCACCCCCAAGTTAATAGTTAATAGCCATTCCACCTATAGAAAATTATATAGATGGGATAATATATCTGATTACAGTACCTCTTGCCTTTGATTACATCACATGTTCGGTTGTTAATTTCATTGTCCATCCGATGGCGTGCCTAAAAGGAGAAATAAATGAAACAAGATTAAAAGGACTCTCATTATTTAACCTGAAGAAGTAGTAATAACAATCATGATATTAAAAATATCTCTCCTCTCACAAGATCCCTTTCTACTTTTAATGGATGGGGATAATGTATCAAATATTTCAGAGGACCACAGGAAGAAAACAATAACTCAGGCAATTAAATAATTTGTTAACAGGGTTAGGGTTAGGAACAAATCTAATACTCTTTCCTCCTCTTATTTTCCCCACAACAACCCTGTGAGTGACTAGCCCAAAGCCACCCAGCCAGCTTGCATGCTTAAGGCGGGACTAGAACTCTCAGTCTCCTGGTTTCTAACCCAGCACATCAACCACTACAACCAAACTGGCTTCTTTGAGAAGCAAAGTCATGCCTTTCATTTCTTTAATTTAGGGAACTCAACAGTCTGTTCTGTTTTTCGTTTGCCTGTTGCCCTCCTGAACATCTTTAAACATTCTTAATAGGTGTTTTAAAAAAGGAAAAAGAAAAAGAGAAAAATCCTTACAACATCGTCCACTAGATCTTTAACTGCAGTGATACCCAAGACCAGGAGCAATGGAATCAACGTGGTATACCAAGACAGAGTTGTTATTTGAGGAATTGTCTGAAGTGAAAAAAACAAAACCCACCAGTTATTTACCTTTGTAAAACACCACACAGATATACAAAGTGGCTTATATATTAGATAGATTCCTAATGGTAGATTATGCTATTCCTGTTAAAGGTTACAGGCCTTGATAGCTGCAATGTGTGTGTTTCTCTCTCTTTCTGTGTGTGTGTATGAGGGACAATAACTCAATTCTGGTTAAAGTTAAAAACAATGCAGAAGTTTATAACTGCAGCACAGCTAGCCCTCAATTTACAGCCACTCGTTTAATGACTGTTTGAAGTTACAACGGCACTGAAAAAAGTCAATAACATACTTAACGACAGATCTCACAGTCATGTGATCAAAATTCGAGTGCTTGGCATATATTTGTGATGATTGCAGGATCCTGGGATCATGTGATCACCATTTGCAACTTTCCCAGATGGCTTCCAATGAGCGGAGTCAATGGGGAAAACTGGATTTGCTTAACAACTGTGTGATTCACTTAACAATTGCAGTGGTTCACTTAAAAACCTGGCAAGAAAGATAAACTTGGGTGTGACTCACTTAAAAGCCTCATTGCTTAGCAATTTTGGGAAATCTTGGTCTCAGCTGTGGCTATAAATCAAGGGCTACCTGTCGTGAATCAGATTCCTAAATAGGTTGAGAATACTGCCATTGAATTGGACACTCATACTTCTTGTATTTAATAATTTTAAATGCATTGCTACAGAATAATTATTATCCCAGATACATCCAACTTAAGTACTGCATAGTTAAATAAAAATACTTTCATTGAAACGTAGTGCATTCATATGGTTTGAATTAAAAATACTCTTAATTTCTTTTTGCATATTATTGTTCGAGTCTGTCATATCTAAAAAGCTTACAACAGTCATCTTTATATTAGCTGTAGTAAATACTAGATAGAGCTAGTAAGTAGTGGTAGGAACTCTACCAAAAGGAGGAAGTTAAAGGTTAACAGCAGTGAAGCAGGAAAACCCCGTTTCCTAGCAGGGAAGTACTGATTTTTGGTATTAACACAAAAATGCTCCATTATTGCATATATCCTCTGGGGCTAAGATGTCTGCCTGTAGGCTCCACAATACAGTAAGCTGAACAAGGAAATCTGGATCAGCACATTCAAACATTGCAACACCAATACAACAGCATAAATTGAATTGTGTAAAGCATCACACACTCACATGCAAATTGCTCATATGTGGAATTTGTTTTTGGAAAATTAGTATTTCCCTCTGAACATGGAAAATGCTTATTTAGTCAGGAACTTCCCTCGTGTGATTAAAACCACAAAGTATGTGTGTAAAATTAGGAGCCTACTGTCCAGTCTCACAGACTGTCAACCAGTTTACATTGGTGGTAAATGTATACTGAGTCAATCTGCAGCTCTAAAATTGACTATAAAGAGGACTTACTCCATAATAAATTTCAAAAGAGATGTTATACCTGTAAAATAAGTAGAATAAGGAAATAGAAATTGGCAATTCTTTTAAACTGCTCATACAAGTTCAATGGCAAAAAGGTAATTGGATTATACTTGTAGGTTTTGATGGCGTTTCCCTGTTGAAAACAAAAAAAATCCACTTTAGTTAGCATTAATGTAGAAATCATGTAAATTCATTTTGTATTTTAAACAAAACATTATTAACCAAAGTGGTTTGGTATGCAAGTGTATTGTACAAACCAGACTACTCTGAAACAGACCTGGGGATTTTAATGTTTTTCAAAAACATTATCCTACTACAATATTATTCCACATTTTTATTAAAAAAAACCAATTTTAAAAAGGCGTTGAAGGGAAATAGAGAGGTTTTCAACACTTGAACAAGTAATGAAAAACTGGCTTGGGAAGCCTAAATAACCCCCATTCCAGGCTTGTTTTATACATGGATTTTATAAATATTCTCTATAATATGTACTTTTGGAGTTGTTGACTTTTTTAAGTATGCAAAGGAATTCTCACAAACTCTGCTGCTCAATTTACTCTAATTTTAACCAACTAATCTCAACCCTAGGAATCAGTTGTGTTGTTTGATAAGTCAGAATATAAGAGTTTTATGCTCTAAGGGCCAGACTCAGAATTGTTTTAAAATACAACATGATGCAAAACCTGCAGTGTATACAACTACAATTAATTAGGGCTAAGGTGTAGCTCCATAACTAACCATAATTAACCCAATAGGGTTATAAATTTTACAACTTAAACATATACGAAACCGGCTTCGTCCCATTACATGGGCCCATCCCACCCAGTCAGGCAGAGACAGCATGTTGCAGACCCCATCAGTTAAAGAACTCCAACTTGCTGTGTCTAGGAAGAAAGCTTTTTCTGCCATTGACCCCACCCCATGGAATATTCTCCTCCAGGAGGTGAGTCAGGGCCCCACTCTCCGGGCCTTCCAAAAAGGAGTTAAACTCTTTTTAACTCCTGTAGCCTTGCATGGGGAGTCATGATGTTAGTTGATGATATAAGAACCTTCTCTTTGTCAATTAATTTTTAACAGGGTTTAATTATTCTTGACTCCTTAAAAAATTTTAATTCTAAAAAAAATTAACTCTAACATTTTAATTTTTTATATACTGTTTTTATATATTGATGCTTTATTGTACACTGACCAGAATCCCTCTTTGAGGGATATGGGTGGTTCAGAAATGTGAAGAATGAATGAATGAATGAATGAATGAATGAACGAACGAACGAATGAACGAACTGTCACTATGTAGAGCAGGTGTTTCCCCGAAAGTAAGACTACCCTGAAAATAAGCCCTAGCTTTATTTTGGGGTTGTGCCTAATATAAGCCCTATCTCAAAAACAAGCTCTAGTTTTGGGGCGAGGCACACACCTAAAAATCAAGCTAGGGTGGGGGTAGGATAATGGAGCTTACCATTGCAACTGGGCCTCCTATGGATCGGCATTTGCCTCTCCTCGCCGACCCAATTCTTTTTGTGACCAAAGGAGCAGCTTCATTCTGCAACTGATAATGGGAGCTCTGGAAGGCCTCTGCAGCTGAGAACTGAGCTACGGATTCAATCCATAGCTTGGTTCTCGGCTGCAGAGGCCTTCTGACTGCAAAATGCAGGTTGGAGCTCCATTCTCAGCTGCAGAATGAAACTGCTCCTTCAGCCGCAGAAGACGTGGGCCAGCTGGGGGGGGGCTGGCAGGGCTGCTGCGAGTGAATGGAAAAGACACCCCCTGAAAATAAGACTTGGTGCCTCTTTTGGAGGCAAAAAATAATAAAAAAAATAAAAAAAGACTGGGTCTTATTTTCGGGGTAACATGGTAATAATACATATGTCAACGCTGCAAATACTGTATATTCTTCCTTTGACAATGTGCAGAACTGTCTGGTATATATATAGTTAAACCAGCAACTAGGAAAGAGGGAGGAGCATAAGGATAGCCCGGGAGAAAGAAACCGAAAGTAAATCACATCTTCCAAGTTGATTGGAAGATGTGAACCATGACCCTACAATAAGGGAGTGGAAAATGTCTGGAATGCTATGCGTAACGGAAGAGAAGCAGTTCTAAGCATTCCACCATGCCGTGCTGATGTACTTTAACATTAATAAATGCTTTTAGGAGAAAATATGCCTGAAAGTCCTTTTAAGTGTTTCGTTACTCAGACACATGACAACATACCTACAAGATCATAAACTTTTTAACATTATGATATGATTTGTAATTATATTTATATGCATTAACTTTATTATATATTTTATATATGGCCCAAGACAATTCCTCTTCGCTCAATGCAGCCCAGGTGAGCCAAAAGATTGGACACCCATGGTGTAGAGCAGGGGGGGTTAAACTGGTGGCCTATGGGCCAGATGCGTCACATGCAGGCCACACCCAAACCGCTCCACAAAGGCAAAAAGCGTCACAATACATCACGTGATGTGATCGAGTTTGACACCCATGGTGTAGAGCAGGCATGTCAAACTCGCGACGTCACGTGACATTGCGCAACGTATTGGGCCGGTTTTGCCATTGCTGGCAATGGGGTGGGCGCAGCTTCCACGTGACGCGTCTGGCCCGCGGGCTGGCAGTTTGACACTCCTGGTGTAGAGCAACCAAAACAATAAAGTGTTGGGGAAAGTAATAGGCAGATGGGGACAATTGGAGCACCTAGAGTTGCCAGGTGTCCACTATTTGAGCGGACAGTCCGCTTTTTTCACATTATGTTCACTATTTTTTTCACAATATAGTGGACATTTTTTTTATTCAAAAGCTTTATGATGAAATGGTACATAAAGCTGTACAGTCTAAGACAGTGGTTCTCAACCTTTTTAATGCCGCGACCCCAACCGGTCGTAAGTCGAGGACTAAACTGGTCGTAAGTTGAGGACTAAACCGGTCGTAAGTCGAGGACTACCCAACCGGTCGTAAGTCGAGGACTTTCCCTGCCCGGGAGCGCCGCACATACGTGTTTCCGCCCCCTGCGCCGGCCGAGGCGTAGCTGGCAAGCGGCAGAGACAGAGCAGGCTGACCACCAGCTGGCCCAGCCCAAGGGAGGTAAGGCACCCGCCGGAAAAGGGGGAAAAAATGGCGGACAAAAAAAATGGCGGACAGCCTTGCTTGGCGACCCCCATGAAATGGTCAATCGACCCCAAATGGGGTCCCGACCCACAGGTTGAGAACCACTGGTCTAAGAGAATAAGTATAGGACAATCGCGTTTTGTCTTTTTTTTCATGTTAGAATGAGACAAAGATCGAATATCCATTGAACTCGATTCTCCGAAAAAATTATTAATCATACACAATTGTTTCACAAGACATTTAATAAAAGTATATAAAATTATTTACATACTATTTTTCTTAACTCGCATTTACCTATTATTTTTATATTATACTTTTTTCTTAGTTGGATAGGTATGTTTTGGAACACTAACGTATCATCATTTGAGGTTCAATGAGTACTAGCCTCAATATGTAGAGCGCGAGAGTGTCGACTGACCTAAAATGGCGTCGAGTGATGAGAGTGACAGCGGCGAGATTTCGAATTCTTTTTTACTTTTTTTTACTACTTAACCCCCCCCCCCGCTTGTCCGCTATTTTTTGGAATTAGACCTGGCAACCCTAGGAGCACCTCTTCCATCATAAGTGTGGGTAGACTTCTTAGAACATGAATTTTGATCATATGACCAAAGGGGGCTGCAATGGCTATAATTTCATTGACTGGTGTAAGAACCATTCGTTTAGCACTGCCATAAGTTTGAATGGTGGCTGAACAAATGGTTGTAACTGAAGGTTTACTTTTAGTTTGGGGCTGCCAGACTACAGTATTTTGTATTTCTTGAATTTAATCCTGGGTCTCCTATTAGTTGTGTCTGCCATTCATTTACTGCCTTGTTTTCCATTTTTAATGAAAGCATTTGGAACATAAAATTAAATCTTGGAAGAACTCTTAAGACAATTTTAACTTTCTCCATCTTAAAAAAAACTATATTTTTCCAGATTTCTGAGTAGCTATTTTTAGATAGGAGTTTCTTGTTTCTTTCTGAAATAAATACCCACCTAGTGAATCTTTTTGCAACAATGTTAAATCTTATTATTTGGTAGATGCATTGCTTTTTTTCCTCAGCTAAAATCCATGCCAATGTATGAGTTGTTTCATTAATTTTAATTAAACTAAAATACAAGGAAATTACATCTGATTTAGCTCTAATCACCAATTTTGAAAGTGCAGCTTCCAAAAGGCCACTGAAATGCAAATCGAATTCTCTGGCACAAAAAAGGCTAATGGCATTTAGAAAATAATTAAGTAATTAAAATTGCAAAGGGTAAATATCTTTTTAGATGAGGTCTTATTTGAGAATTTAAAAAGACCAGAGCAATCTTAGGATTGATAGAAACTTCAATACACCAACCACTAGGCTCTTCAACAACTTTAAAGGCCAGCTGCAATCCTTGTGTACTGTATGAAAATGAACATAAGATTAACTAAGGAATCCAGTTTCTTTGTTTGTTCTCCTTAAAACATGCTGAACAAAGTGGCTAAATACACTGTGGTAAGAACTGCAATTAAATACATCTGGAAAATGCTACTTATGCAAAGTCTAGACTAATGAATCCATGCCTGTACAAAAATTCAAACAATTAATCAATTAAGATTTTCTCTTTAGATGAGAGTCTTAAGAACTATTGGAAACTATTACGTATAGAAATGTTTACTTACCGCGTATTTACTTTTCTGAATACAAAGGAATATTGTTTCCTTAAACTGGGGTTGCTCATAGAAAGCTCTGTCATTTGCTTTAACTTGCCAGCTGCAATCTGAAAACACAGCAAAATATTTAATTTATAAATACTTGGAAGTATAGAATGGGTTTTTCTTCTATATATGAATTAAGTGGGAGTGTGCATGACTCTCCCTTTTTTTAAAATCTGAAAGCAGCTCACAAGGCAAAAATTCTGCATTATATCCTTGATTTTGCATACATTCACAAATAGCAATAGCACTTAGACTTATATACCGCTTCATAGTGCTTTACATCAGGGGTCCACAATCTCTGGTCTGTGGACCTTCACTGGGCTGCAGCATGCCAGTAATCGGTCCGTGCAAACAAGCGAAACTCCATCCATGGGATGCAGGCAGTACGCAAAACCACACCTCCTTCTGTCCGCAGAAAAAAACTTTCTCTATGGAACTGGTTCCTGATACCCAAAAGGTTGAGGGCCACTACTTTACAGCAGTCACTGGGCAGTTTACAATGTCAGCATATTGCCTCCAATAATCTGGGTCCTCATTTTACTGACGGATGGAAGGCTGAGTCAACCTTGAGCTGCTCAGAAGGATGGAAGGCTGAGTCAACCTTGAGCTGCTCAGAATTGAACTCCTGGAGTGAGCAGTGAGTTAGCCTGCACTGCTACATTCTAAACACTGCACCACCACAGCTCTTATTAAACATCTAGATGCTGTTCAACTTTGCTTCTATAAATGCAAACTAGCAGTACTGGTGAACGAACAAAATATATCGTATTGACAGAGAAATGCTAAAAGTGGGAGAACTGGATAGCCGTTGAATGGTAAAATTAATTTTACCTGGAGGAAAAAAATAATACTTTACTAAAACGAATTACAGTTATGTCATCCATTTGGTTTTTTTTTAACTGAAAAGCTTGCTAAAAAGTTATTGTAATGACGCATATATATTCTATGCAGTTACTAAATCCAATTGAAAAGTTGACATAATCTAACCATTGTTTTTCTGTGCCTTAATTCTTATTCACACAAGTATTTGTTACTACTTGTTCATGAATAATGTCCGCAACATATATCTCAATTAATGTACTGAATTTTGATGGGATAAAATCTCCTTGATAATCTCTTCCTTGTTGCAAAAGTTCTGAATTAATTATTGATTAATTAATGGAAATTTTTCTCTGTTCATCAAAATTAAAAGGCAAGGAAAAGTTAAAGGTCCCAGGCACCTAACAAGACTTCAGTTAGATTACCTGTTAAGTTTGTTACTGGGCAACTAATTGATCTACTTATATAATTATCCTTTATTTCCAGAAATATTGAAAATGCATTCTATTTTTAATACTATTTTTTTCTGCAAGGTAGAAACATTAAAGAAAACAAAATGGAACAAATATCCTGGCACCAATAACTCCTTCAGAAATATTCTAAATCAAATGTGTGTGTGTGCCTAAATTTGTTGGATATGGCCAATAAAGTAAAATTATCTTGAACTACTCTACCCAACTCACCCTTATCATGCCTAACACTTCAATCAGTTCCAAACTATTTTTATTACGTAGTCCTTGATTTATGTCCATATTTGGGACCAGAATTATTGAGCAAGGCAGTTCTTAAATGAGTCATACCCGATTTTACAACATTTTTGCCATGGTTATTAAACAGTTGCTAAATGAATCACATGGTTGTTAAGCAAATCCGGCTTCCCCCATTGATTTTGCTTGTCAGAAGCTGGCTGGAAAGATTGCAGATGTTGATCACATAACCCCGGGAAACTGTAACCATCATAAATATATGCCAGTTTCCAAGCATCCAAATTTTGCTCATGTGATTGCAGGGATTCTATGATAGTTGTAAGTGCAAGACCAGTCATAAGTCACATTTTCCAATACAGTTATAATTTTGAATGGTCATTAAATAGTTGTAAGTTGAGGACTATCTGTACACTTTCTGTTGAATCAGTCCAGTTCATCAGTCCTTGTAATCTTTTGCAAACAAGTCAATATAAAGAAAAAAAACCCCTTCAAAATAATCACTAGCCTTTGGTAATAATTTCTTGCATTCTCACCCTTTTGAAGTGTCTCTCGAGTTGTTTCCACCTCTATATTAATACGGTTTTGCTCTGGTTCAACGTCAGGTTGAATGTCCAAGTCATCTTCCGTCTCATCATCACTATATGGAACCTCCTCATCATTGGGCTGAGAGTCTTCATCAAAGGTAGTTTCAGAGTCTCTTTCTGAATTCATCCTGCCAACAGTTCCTGAAAAACAAAAGTAAAAGTAGATCGGTATCAACCTGTCATGGAAGTCCTTCTTGCCATTTTTTTCATCAGACCAAATTTGACCAGCTAAAACAAATGTATTCAATCTATGCTTTAAAAAGAACCCATGCATTATCATTCAGGGCCTTGGTGCACCTAATAAATAAATATAAAATAAATATCCACCTACCTTTTTACAATGATGTTAAATCTTTTTATTTGGTAGATATATTGCTTTTCTTCCTGAGCTAAATTCCATGTCAATGTGTGAGTTATTTCATTAATTTTAATTAAACTAAAATACAAGGAAATCTGACATTGAACTCCAACCAGTCATGCTTTTAGATGCCATTTCTCTTTAAAAACCTATCAACAAATCAACTTATATGGAAAATCAATTAAGTGGGATAGTAAATTCCATTGTGAAAATGTCTTATAATGAAACTAAGACTTGAAGCACTACAATTCTAGTACGTTGCAGGAAAATAAACAAAAATCATAATTTTAAAAAAAACTACAGATAAGAGGTAAAACTATAGAACTGGAACCTCTCTCAGGACAAACACCATTTTTGTAACGTTTAGCCTTATTCTAGCTAGGCAACGGAGATCATGGTTGCTAGCAAATAGCTCTGGACATAGAGAAAGTTAGACACTGGGAAATTCTAACAGGCTGAGGGTTCCCTTCTTACAAAGAGGACCTCAAGGGATCCCGCTGAGGGAGACAGGAAGGCCAACAGCTTCCATCAAATGATTCAAAAGGTGTCATAATTGGAGACCTCTGAAGTTCAGACATTCAGATATGCTGGGACAAAACCAATTTGCATATCAATAATTAACAGGATAGGCTTTAGAAATGTCTATATGCAAAAAAAAAGTGTGGACACTCTTGAATTGATAGATTGAAATATTAATTATGCATGCTCACTTTATAAAACATGTTCAATTGTAATAATAAAAGTAGGGAATAACAAAAGAAGTTGCAGAACCCAAGATAAATAATTTAAGGATCTTAAAAATTCAATTAATGTGGCTGTGCTGTACTATTTCCTCTCTACTCCCTCTCTACTAATATTATGTACAATGGCCTGAATCATCATGTAAAATGTAGACAATTAATTAAAGTTAAATAAGATTTATCAGGAAAGAGCTCAAAGTTGAAATCTTAAGCTCAACTCCTACTAACTTCATGAAGCCCACTTGGCAACAATATAGAAACGGTTTTGCCATTTTCTTTCTTGGGGATATTTTTCAATTTCAGTCTACAATCTACAGTGAAGGATTTCTTGGAGACTTCCATCTAAGGAGTAACAGGACTTATTTCTGCTCTGATTTTTTTTTTTGGATCAGCTGAATTTGCTAATTTATAGAGAGAAAGATATGGATTTATTTTTAAATTATTACCATAGTTTAAAAGAGAAATATCGCTCATCTCTGTGGGCTGACTGTAATGGTGTACTGGCACATGGAGGTTACCATTTGTTAATTGACGGCCATTTTCCTAGGTTCCACCAGGTGTATTTCCTTCATTAATAGAAACCACAACGTTCTGCCTTCCTGCTCTGGTGGGCCAGGTAGACATATACCACTCAATATCCTCACTGTAAAATCTACAAGACAGAGCTTCAATATACCTAAAAAGTACCAGGTTCAGACAGGCCGGTTAAATATCTGGATAATACTTGGCATTTTCAATTTTATCTAAATTGTTGGCAAACGTTTATTTTAATTCTAGGTACCACAAAATAAAAGACAGTGTTGAAAAATGATTTTGCATTAAGCTCCACATTAAGCCCCTTGGTCCATAGTCCTACTCTTCAAAGAGACATGTGTATCATAACTGAGGTCTTCTTTTTCAATTCCTCTGCTCTGCATGACTTTAATCAAGGTTTCATGCCTGTATTTTAACTCCACCCTATGGGGCTGCTTTCTTTCTATCTGAACTCAAATAATACCCATAGATGCACTTCTGTACCTACATTTTCTGCAAACACTGGTTGACTTACCGTATATTGTAGGGAGTGGCATAGTTAATGCTTAACAGGGTTATTTTTTTAAAAAAAAAAAACTCCACCTAGCAAACTATTTTGCAATTCTTTGTGCTGCATATTAGATGTTCCGAAAGAAAAGAAAGTATGACCTTGACTGTTTCCTCATAAAGATACTGAAAGAAGACAATTAATTCAACTCTGCAAACTGTCTTACACACTCACCTACAACCAGATCCTCCTTTTCCATTAAACAATGACACCTTTGTAAAAGAACAAGCAGCTGGCCTGCAAATGGGCAATCCTTTTTAATTTCTGCACAAAATTGCATACTTTTAGAACGAGAATTGTATTATTTTTTCCTCCCACTAACGTTTCACATAACAGATTAAGACACTATGAAAAACAGAAACTTTTCTCCAGAAAAGTTTGTGTTAACTTGATTCCCTCTTTCCTCAGAAAGGGAATGCTTGTGGAGTACAAGTAGCCCTTGACATATGAACACACTGAGCCCAAATTTTCCATTGCTAAGCAAGATAATTGTTGTGAGTTTTGCCCCATTTTACGATTATTCTTGCCATGGGGTATTAAGTGAATCATTGCAATTGTTAAGTTATAAGGTGACCAACCGTCCTCCTTTAGGGAAGACAGTCCTCCTTTTTTAAGTTCTGTCCTCCCTTGAAAAGTGTCCTCCTACATGTCCTCCTTTTCGATATTTGAAGACTAATTTGCAGGGCTTTTTTCCCTCATAGAACGCTTAGAATGGCGTTCCGGCACCTTTTTTTGATGGTTTTTTTTTCAACTTTTGCATGAGCTGTGCTACTCCCCCTATTGGCTTTCGAAAGCCAATAGGAATTGCTGCTGAGTGCGCCAAAACACCTGGCCGGCAAACTTTGCACATGTAAGTTGTCTGCAGCGAAGGCGAATTGGCAGGAACTTTGCACCCTTCCCTGCTACCAAGTACACCATCTCCTAGTTAGTCCCAAAGATACCTGGAGGAGACTGGAACGGCGATGCCACAGTAACTTTCTCTTGATCTTCAGCTCTGCTAGGGCAATAATGGCTGCGGGTGCAAGAGGCAGGGGCAGCGGGGCTGCTGCGGGCAGGGGTGTGAGGGGCGGCGGTGGCCGGCTGCCCCCCATGCTATTGGGAGACACGGGGCCTGCTCTACACGAGGCAGTGCAGGGTGGGCAGTGGTGCTGGCAGGGCGGCTGCAGGTGGGGTGTGTCGATGGCGGGCTGCCCCCCGGTGCTTTGGGAGCCGTGGGGCCCGCTGTACACGGCGGGGCAGCAGTACTGGCAGGGCAGTTGCGGGCGGGGGCACAGCATGTAAGCATAATTACAATATAAAATGTTATTGTTACAAATGTTTTTTATTATGCATTTATCATATTATAGTGTATTCTGTATTATTGCTGCAATGAATAAAATATTTCTTTTATTTACGATATTTTTTTCTTCAATTTATTTGTCCTCCTTTTCATTGTAAAAAAGTTGGTCACCTTATAAGTTAATAACACACTTGTTAAGTGAATCTTGGTTCCCTATTGAGTTTGCTTGTCAGAAGATCGCAAAAGCTGATCACATGATCCCAGGACACCACAACCGTCATAAATACATGCCAGTTGACAAGCATCCTGATTTTGATCATGTAACCAGGGGGATGCTGCCATGGTTGTAAGAGTGAAAAACCATCACGAGTCACTTTTTTCAGTGCCATTGTAACGTCTAATGGTCACTAAATGAATGATTGTTAAATTGAGGACCAGCTTTATGTAGTATGCCAGTGATTCTGGATTCAAATTCTTGATATATCTTAGCAGGTTTAGCAGAGAGCTCCGCCCAAAATCCAGGGGAGTTACCTCAGGATATGCAGTACCCAATTGGATACAGCAATGATATTAGATAATATAAAGCAGGTACCCATAATCTGAATAGTAATAATCCAAAATTAGGGTTTCCTCATCTTCATAATTATTCAATATTATGGGAAAAGCTACTCTACAGTATAAGAGTAAGCTCTCTATTGTAGGATCCAATCTGGGTCAGTCACCAAAGGTTTAGTCTTCCGAGCTTTCAGACTCAGCTGCAGCCCATCCTGAGGGAACTTCTCTTTAGTAGAGGGTCTGTAACTGGCATGAAATTCCTTGTATGAAAGGCATTTTGTTTTCTTGTAGGATAAGTTAAGCAGCTTTTTTTAAAAAAAGAACTGCAGTAGTTTATTTTGTTTTTTAAAGAGGTGTAGCAAAAACGAAGATCCATTCTGTGTCTGAATAGCAAACTGTACACAAAACACAGAACTCTAAATCTAACTTCAATAATCTCATTTACAATGATGTTTCTCTACATTCTCAACCTAGCAAGATTAGACTGCAAACATCCATAAAAAGAGAAACAAAACATTATGGTATTTAATGAAACAGACACGAATCCCACCATCTGACCAGAACAAGCAGCTTCTTCCTTCCTGAAGCTTTGCAATTACTTCAAATTTGTGCACAAATGAAGCATCAACACAAATGTCCATTAGGATAATTTACAGATAGGCGAACCTTCATTGCAGATTACTTGGGAGTGAAGCTCCAGTTGTGTGCATGTGTGCGCATTAGAACATGTAGTAGAACTTCATTGATTTGTTGGGATATTATTAGAGTAGAAAATAAATAACTCATAGCAATTATATTTTGCACAATGAATTATGCACAATGAATTATGTTGCTATACCTTTAAAAACATAATAAGGGAAAAGGGTGGATATTTTTTTCTATATTTATTATATTATTGTATTTCTATACTTTAACAAGGATGGTAACAATTGCCTTCAAGTGCAACTATTGCTTTATATTCAACCATTCCTTTTGGAAGTTAAAATTAAATACTTCTTTACACTGACAATTCAGAAGCAATACCAAGAGATTTTTTACTGACAAACAGCAAATTGATTTTGTATAGCTATAGATTTGTCTAGTTTCCTTTTAAAATCCTTTAAAATGATGTCCTCAATAATTCTGGAA